TAATTCTAACGGCCGATTCTTAAAATTTTCCATAATCAAACACACTTCCTCTCAGCTTATAAATCGAAATCGAAATCAAAATCAATAACCAACAATCAACAATCAACAATCAACAATCAAAAACTCACTTACCAATCAGTTCGATCCTCAGAATGTCTTTCGTTACCTCTAGACCGATCCAGTATCGTATTTACGGCTACACATCCGCCGCTTCCGGCGAGCAACCCTATCAAGTTCTGCAACTCCAACTGCGCTATTTCCGCCGTGAGATCTCTGTTTCTCCGCTCTCCGGAGTTACGTACCTTCAAGAAACTGCACCGATTCTACTGAGGAATCTTCTGTTCCCGCTCCGTCTGCAGGAACTCCATGATCCGGTGTTCCTCCAGGTCTACGTCGCACAGTTGCTGTCCTTACTCAACGTCCGCTCCCCCGTACGCGAAGTCATTGCTGAGCGCATCGTGTCGTACACCCTCCTAGTGGCCGGCGGAAACAGAGAGACGAGTTTCCACACGGTCTTGGAGCTCGATTACATCCGACTGATCACCTGGATGGAAGAAAACCACGGATTGTTCCAGGGATGGAGCTATGACAATGCAGCGGGGGAGGAGACGGCGATTCTGGAAGAAGCTCGGCCGGTTACGGAGAAAGTGGAAGAGATGGGGGATTGCAGTATCTGTTTGGAAGAACTGAATGGGAACGGAAATGGGAATGGCGAAGGGAAGAAGAGGGAGGAGGTGATAAGGATGCAATGCGGGCATGTGTATCATGAGTCATGCATCTTCAAGTGGCTTCACCATAACAGTTCATGCCCCTTGTGCAGAGCCCCATTGTGAAATTCTTCATTTCTTGTGGGTCTCATTTTAATTACTCATTTTTTGAGGGGCTCATTTGCAATTACTCTGCTTACATGTAATATGCCCCCACTGCTGCTTGTAGCATCATTGACACTAATAACACTAATTCTTTTTTTCTTTTGAAATCCGTGCGCATATTTGTTTTATTTGATTGGGTATAAAACTCAAAATCTTTGTTTGTAGGGTTAAAAAAAAAAAAAAA